TGATATCATATTAACAGGTCTTCAGATAGGCTTTGATATACAACTCTTCCAAGGAGCTATCTCCTTCAGCATTCACACAAAAGAGTTGCTAGGCTTCCAGGAATTTCTTCAAACCATAAAGCCCTACAGTACCAGGGCAGATGGTTTTCTCAAGGATTTCTGGGAGCAAGCGTTTGTCTGTTCATTTCCAAATCCCCAAGAGCTGGTGGATGAAGATGAACTATGTACTGGGGAAGAGAGGTTAGACAGCCTGCCTGATCCAGTTTTTGAAATGAGCACGACTGGCCATAGCTATAGTATTTACAATGCTGCCTATGCTGTGGCTCATGCCTTACATGCCATCTCATCAAGATGCCACCACAGAAGAATGACTGATGGGGGAAAACATAAACTCCATGATCTCCAGCCTTGGCAGGTAATGTTTTCACAATTAAAATCTTCTTCATTTTTACTCTTTGCCCAGAACAGTTTTGTAGAAATCATCAGAGAGTATCCAACCTTTTCCTACACAAAATTATTAATGAATGGGTTCATATTTCCTCTCAAATTGGTGGCTGTAATGGGGAATTAATTTTTTTCTTCTATCACTATGCATGTTCCTTTATCTACCTTTTATCACGTCTAGTTGGGTCTTTGCTATAGAAAAAACATAAAGGAATGGAATGTACAAATAATCAGCATTTCATGTCTATGGACATGAAATGTTAGCCCTTGTTTCTTTTCCACTTTCAAATAGCTGCAACCATTTCTGCAAGGGATTTCATTCAATAACTCAGCTGGAGAAACAATATCATTTAATGCTAAAGGGGAAATGGGAGGTGGATTTGATATCAACAACATGGTCATCTTCCCAAACAGATCCTTCCAGAGAGTGAAAGTTGGAAGTGTGAGTGAAGGAAAAGGATTCATCATTCATAAGGCCATGATTATATGGCCAAGAGGTTTTAACCAGGTACAGATTGTGTTTCCCCCTATTCTTGACTGGATTATCAGTTCTAAAACACCACTTGTTGTGCAACCTTATGCATCTGTCTCTGTCATGAAATCAGGAAACTAAACAGAAGTGTATGATTAAATAGAAAATATTTATTTTCCAACCAACTTTTGAAAATGCTCTGCTTCTTTGAGCAATATAAAGTTCCTACGTTGTACCTACGGTATCTGTTTTCTTATTGATGGATAGGGGACTCCCATTTCGGTCTGCAGTGACTCCTGCCAATCTGGGTATCGGAAACAAAAGAAGGAGGGGAAGAAGTTTTGCTGTTATGACTGTGCTTTATGCCCTGATGGGAAGTTTTCAGACCAAAAGGGTAGGTGATACAGCTGTTCTCCTGACATAACATCCAACTAAAAGCCCTCAGGATCCTTAACCCATCACCCTGGTGTGTTTGTATATATGACTCTGTGTTGTAAACACTTTCTTGCAGGATGGGGGTCTTTCATTGTCACTTGAGACGGTCAAATGCCAACAACCAGTTTTTCAATTTATTTTATTTTAATGAATTCCCATAATTTTGTGTGAAATATATATTTCATATATAGGCATTTTAGCGAGAATCTATGTTTTCATCTTATACATGATTTTTTTATTAAAATTTGATGTAAAACCAACATGTTTCCTAATTCCTTTAATGATCCCGTTCCCCCCCCCCCAAACAAAAATGGATTGCTTTTCAACTCAAGAAGAAGGTGGGTCATTAACCTCCCAATATTTCTCTTATAGCAGCAAAAAAATATAGGAAGCTATTTTATGTCAAGTGAGGAAATTTGTCCATCTAGTTCAGTATTGTCTACACTCAGATGTTCTAAACTGGCTTTAGAAATAAGAAGGAACATGCTGCCAATGCATTTAAGTGTACAAATCTCCCATTACTTTAAAAAAAATAAAAATCCTCTTTGGCATTTAGGAAAATCACCTCCGCTCATGTCAACTCAAGTGTGTACACATTGACACATCATCATTGTTCTCATTGTGGTGAGTCATGAATTCACATGTACACCTCCGCACTGGAACTATGAAACAGAAATCAAGAAATATATCATTTATTATTTGGGAGGAAGTGAGGAAATTCTTCTTAAGTCTCACATGGAATGACACTGAAATGAGATTTCTTTCTGTTTTTCAGATATGGATGACTGTCTCCAGTGCCCAGAAGATCAGTATCCAAGCAAGGACAAAGATCAATGTTTTCCAAAGCGTCTAACTTTTCTATCTTTCAAAGAGCCTTTAGGGATCATTTTAACTTCTGTTGCTGCATCCTTTTCCTTTATCACAGCTTTGGTTCTAGGAACTTTATTAAACACAAAGACACCCCCATCGTCAAAGCCAACAACCGGGACATCAGCTACATTCTGCTTGTCTCTCTCGTCCTCTGCTTCCTCTGTTCTTTGCCATTCCTTGGACAACCCAATAATGTGACCTGCATTCTCCGGCAACCAGCTTTTGGCATCATCTTCTCTGTGGTTATTTCTTGTGTGATGGCTAAAACCATCACTGTTGTGGTCGCTTTCATGGCCACCAAACCAGGATCCAGCATGAGGAAGTGGGTGGGGAAAAGACTGGCCAACTCCATTATCTTTTCTTGCACCCTCATTCAATCAGGAATTTGTGTTTTGTGGTTGGCAAACTTCTCTCCATTCCCAGATCTGGACATGCATTCTCAGAGCAAAGAGATCATTGCATTATGCAATGAAGGATCTGTCCTCATGTTTTATTTAGTTCTGGGCTTCATGGGATTTCTGGCCATCATCAGCTTCACAGTGGCTTTCTTTGCTAGAAAGCTGCCAGACACTTTTAATGAAGCCAAGTTCATCACTTTCAGTATGCTGTTGTTTTGCAGTGTTTGGCTGACTTTTGTTCCAACTTACCTGAGCACCAAGGGGAAATACATGGTGGCAGTGGAGATCTTCTCCATCTTAGCTTCCAGTGTTGGATTACTTGGTTGTATCTTTTCCCCCAAATGCTATATTATTATTCTTAGGCCGGAGTTGAACAACAGGGAACAGCTAACGAAGAGAAAGAATTATTGAACCTTTATGTCATATTAGTTATGTTTTTTCAGGAACTGGCAGACTGCCGGCTTAGATAATCAGCACACAGTCATTGTTAGTTACAAGCATATTTATTATACACAGTAATTAACCACAGAGCGACCGTCCATCAAGATGATGTTGAGGCATCTGAATTCAAAGTGTGTCTCCAACAGGAAACACGCCAGCACCACCATCGCTTCTTCTTTGATTGACGCCTTTCTCTGACCTTTGTTCGTCCACGAGCCTGGGGACTCTCGGGGTCATCTCCCATCTCTCCCTCTGAGGAAGAGTCTACCCTCCTGTGTTGTGACCAAAGGCTGCTCCTCATAGAATTGGCCTCCGTCTAGCCCACTTTCACTGTCTTGAAATTTACAGTCTCTTCTCCTCTAGAGAAGGGCGTTGTGGCCCACTGCCTTCAGCTCACTGGGAAAGAGGCCAGTCTCTTTCCTCCTCTTCTGACTGACTGCTCCCCCACTCAGAATCCTTATCGTGGCTGTGGGAAGGCACGTCCATGACATGTTTGTTCTTTTCAGTGGGTCTGTTCTGACTGTAACTAACATTGGATCTTTATCATGAGCTCTTATTAGGAATTCTAGAAGAAGAAGAAGAAGAAGAAGAAGAAGAAGAAGAAGAAGAAGAAGAAGAAGAAGAAGAGTTTAGATTTGATATCCCACCTTTCACTCCCTTTAAGGAGTCTCAAAGCGGCTAACAATCTCCTTTCCCTTCCTCCCCCACAACAAACACTCTGTGAGGTGAGTGGGGCTGAGAGACTTGAAAGAAGTGTGACTGGCCCAAAGTCACCCAGCAGCTGCATGTGGAGGAGCGGAGACGCGAACCTGGTTCCCCAGATTACGAGACTACCGCTCTTAACCACTACACCACACTGGCTCTCTTTTCAGTGGGTCTGTTCTGACTGTAACTAACATTGGATCTTTATCATGAGCTCTTATTAGGAATTCTAGAAGAATGAAAGCACCCATGCTCTAATATTTGTGACAACAGTTGTTTCTACATTCTGATTGCCAGAATAGTACCTTCCATCCCATCCCTTTGAACACTCCATTTTGGGGATTCCTACCAACATTGGCTGAGCAAGCTTCAATTCTGCCAGCTGAATCCTGTCCCTGCCATGATGAAGCATTCCTACTGGCATATATTTGGCTGAGTGTGGACTGGGGACTCATCACAAACTGAGTCTGGCTCAGCCATAAACCAGCTAGCTGAGCTGCACGTCCACTGCACAATGAAGTGCTCATGCTAGTGGACTTTGCCATAAGATTTCCCACCAAAGAATAGTAAAGCAGGTCAAAATTTGTTCTTACAAAAGCTCTATCTAAAGTTTTCAATGGCTCAAAACAGGAGAGCCTTTTTCAATGCCAGAAATTCTTTTAAGATGCTGCCAGCAAGTGAGCTTCTGGCTGTAGGAAATTAATATGTTCAAACTTCAGAGCATATTTATATGCTTTCTTAGAGTCTTATCAAGTTAATAAGTCAGTGTCCCATAAACATATTCATGTTTTTAAACATTTTTATAGCTTTAACAAAACTCACATGTGCCCCCTCAACCACTTTGAATGGCAAAATTGGCACACTATAATTTTCACATAAGGCCCATTCCACATTTGTAACCACTTGATCATTTATTATTATTATTATTATTATTCCACCCTATACCCACAAGTCTCTGGGTGGTTCACAGAATGAAATTTAGTGTGGCTGCACATAAAACTCCCTGGCTCCATCACAGTGTTTGTTTCAGTGCCTACTAGAAACAGTTTTAGATATGCTGATGTGAATTTCAATCAGTTAGAATATTTTAATTTTCTGTATGCTTTAATGTATTGTGATCACCCGCCCCAATTTTGTGGTTTTAATTCTTTGTAAACTGCTTTGAGGATTATATCTCCCACATAAGGCTAGTTCTACATTAATTCTGACCAATTTTAGCCCCAACACCAATACATTAGTTTCCTTGACACACAGAGCAGCAGATGTGGCCTCCAAGGATTGCATCTTCAGTTGCTGCAGCCATGGTGGCAACAACAGGTGCAGTATGTTCCTTGGAGGCTGGCCTGCTGTCTTTCAGATAGCAGCAGCAGCAGCAGCAGCAGCAGCACCCCCTCCATGCTCATAGGTGTCTCTCGCTATCTTTGTATGATTGTGGGTTTCAACAAGAGCTGGGAGCTGAGTGGTAGGAGAAATGGCAAGGCAGTATGAAGGAGACTAGGTGTCAGGGCAGAGCCAGGATGCTCAGAGTCCACTGACATAGCTGAGCATGGGCACTTAGAGACAGGAGCAGAAGAGGAATACATGTATGCAGAAGGAGAGAGAGAAGAGCCTAGTGGGGCAGCGTCAACACCAACAGGACCCGAGAACCAGGAAGAGGTGGGGAGTGAACAGGCTGACTTACAGGCACCGCAAGGTTAACCTCAGAATCGGATGAGGGCAGGAGATTTAGGGCGGCTCGCGCAAGACGTGAGGACAAAAGAAAGGGTCAGAGGCGGGGCTTGAGATTCCTGCACTTTAGGTGCTGGAGGAGGAAGAAGAAGCCGTTAGCTGTATCTGAAGTGAGTGATTCAGATTGATGGATTAATCATTATGCCTTCTGTATATAGTTGTAAATAAAGACTATAAAACCGTCAATGGTCTGCCGTGGTTTCTGGTGAAGAGAGCAACTTCCAGCCCCAACAGGGAATATGTTACATATGTGTGCGGCAACGCAATTCCTCTGTCATGACAAGATCAAACATAATGAAAGTGATTAGGAGGACAGTACTGTTCTTAGCCAAGTGTTCAAGGGGCCCTAGCTATGTCTCTGATCATACTGTCTCTACAGTAGACTTTTTGGCAAATAGTAGGTGCTACTGGTCTCCTATCACCTGTGTTCCTGATGTAGATCTTCACTCACTCCTTCTTCGCTGGTGGGAGAAAAGTGAGCAGATAGAATGGTACAATTTACTTCCTTGGAGCAACCCCTCAAGGAGATTGTGTGGCTTCTGTGAGAGAAAAGTGGTCTATAAAAGAGGAGCAGGGACCTAATGAAGAAGCCATGCTCAAGATCCCACAAACCCTAGAGATGTGCAGGTTGACATTACTTGCAAGTGATTTAACAATTGCTGCATCTCAAGGCAGACCTCGAAGACTGCTTTGGATTGAAGTAACATTCACTACTCCCCTAGTCAGTTCTGTGACTAGCTATTTTAATTATAGCAAAGGAGTGTATTGACTACCATCCTGTAGATCAAACTGAAGCTGAATATTGTGATTCATTTCAAGAATTAGTGCTGCTTTATTTTTCCAAGTTGTCTAGACAAGGACTGGCTAACCTCTGCCCTTTGGAGTCCAAAATTAGGAAGAGAAAAGCCAGAACTTTTTCTTAAAACAAAAGAAAACATGTTTGCTTCCATAATTGCTACTCAAGGTCTCTAAAGAAGGAATTCTTTCTCGACAATTATTCATGCCACACTGCATATATATATAAATATATACACACAGAGAGAGACAAATCTCCAGAGGCTTTTCAGATAATAGGAAAAACAATAACTTGGCAAGCCTGAAAGTGGATATTAGTAGGCTTCTGGTGGAGAAAAACTGGGAGTAGGGCACTGTCACTTTCATCTCTAACAAATCCCCTTTCATTCTGTCACTAGGCAGATAATTCCTAGAATACTGCTAATCTCTCCCAGTATTTAAGACATGCATTTTTGTAGATGTGGTGATTCAGAAGCCAATGATGGATTTTCCCCTGTGAAATAGATTATTGGCAGAGGCAAGAGAGAAGCTTAATAGGATGCTGGATCTAGTGAAGGTGCTTCTCCTTCTTCCAATTGCATGTGGAGTAGGTAACCGTAAGTGCCCCACTAACGTTCCTATACCTGTAGAACATGAATGGTATCAAGGAGGTGACCTCCTCGTTTGTGGGATGACTTCTCATATCATTTACCATTTTAGTGAAGTATCCTTCCGAAGACATCCTTCTCAGGAGTTATATGAATTTCCAAAGTAAGGACCTTTCTCTCTCCCCCCCCCTTCCTCCTCCCTATAACATTGTCCTGGTCATATCATCAACACAAACAGCAGTTTCATTAAGTGACAAAAATTTCATAATGTAGGCCACCCTGTGATCCTTAGATGAAGGGCAGTATAGCAATGATAATGATGATAATGATGATGATGTTCAAGGAAAGGCACACTGGGATTGCCCCCATCCAGGAACACAATTGTGCTTCTCTAGCACCTTTTGGGATCTTGTGCATTCTACAATGTTTAGAGAAAAAAATTGACTCTGGCATCCTCTTTTGAAATTTCTTCCTAATTTGTCCCTCAGATTCCAAATCCAACAGATTTTGCCCCATTGGTTATGGGATAGATTTGATGGGAACTGGAATACACCCATATCCAAGATCTCAGTATATTGATGCATGATTTGAAGACGGTTGTTTAATAGGTTGTAGACATCAGTAACAAATTAAATAAGATCCATTGAATATAAATCTGTCACTGCCAGAAAGGAGCCCTTTTGTGGGATGTCAGGCACAGTGACATTATCTTGTGACACACTAAATTCTTCTGTTTGCAGTTTTGTGACAAAGTTCCACCAGCATGTCCTTGCCTTGGTGTTTGCAGTGAATGAGATCAATGAGAATCCAAATATCTTGCCCAATGTAACATTTGGGTTCCACATCTATGACAGCTACTATGATGCTAGGATGACCTATCGTACCAACCCTGGACATGCTCTTCAAATCTCATAGATTTAACCCCAACTACAAGTGTGGCATCTGTAACAGCCTCATCACTGTCATTGGGGGACTTAGCTCTGATACTTCCTTCCATATTGCAGATATCTTAAGACCCTACAAGATTCCACAGGTAGGATCTCTGCATATGAGACATGGGGATGTGCAGAAACAAATCTCTTACCATGTTTGCTTTTGCTTTGATGGTTCAGAAGCAGGAAGAGGTCTGAACGGTATTCTTGAAAATTTATTAATCTGCTCTAGGACCTTTTTTGGTATTGATGTGAAGCTCACTGTTGGTAGTTACCTGGGTGTTGTTTCTTTGTGTTTTTGAATATGGGGAAGATATTTGCTCCTTGTAAATCTGTACATTTAAAGTATCTAGGTGTTCCCTTACCACCTCTTTTCCTCTCTTGGACTCCATGACATCATTGATTCTGTTATCACCAGGTTTGGAACTAGTTTTCTTTTGGGTGAAGACAGAGGCAAAATAGGTGTTGTCACCCAATAGCATTTCTCCGTCTTCTCCATGCAATGCACCTTCCACTTACTTGTGCTCCCTCTTCCTTTCCAACATAGCCAAAGAAACTTTTTGAAATTAATTTTAACTCTTGTGCAAGCCTGAGCTCATTCTGAGCTTTTGGCAGCCTGACTTTCCCTCTGCAACTATTGGCTACTCTTATATACTTCTCCTTTGTGATTTCCCCTTTCTCCCATTTCTTTTACATGCCCTTCTTAAATCTCAGGTAATCTGTAAACCATGCCAGTTTCTTTTTAATTATTGTAATCTGCTCTGGGATTGAAAGTATAAGGGAGGATCTTCTTCTTTGGTGATCACTCATAGCTGAGTAAGATTGTCTTCCATGAACACAGTTGAGTCCGTAAGTGACTGTGGAGGCTAATTCTGGATCCACACATCCTTCCACAGTGGAGATATTAGTTTCTTGGTCGGAATTGATCATGGTGAGGGTTTGCCAAATGTGCCTTCCTCTTAGCACATTTCTCTCTTTCATCCTGAGTTTGAATGTCTTCAGTGTCCATGAGACCTTTGGTAAAGGCTGTTTTCCAGTTGGAGCACTTGCAGGCCACTGTTTTCCAATTGTCTGTGTTTATACTACATTTATCTGATATTCGTTGAGAGAGTCTTTAATCCACTTTTGTTGACCACCAGCATTATACTTTCCATTTTTAAGTTTGGAGTAGAGTTGTTTCTTTGTAAGACAATAATCAGGCATCCGAACATGATCAGTCCAACTAAGTTGGGAGGGTAATACATTTTAATCCCTACCTTATTACTGGTATGCTGTTGCGCCCCACTCATATCCCCCCTAGGAAGGAGAATAGATAGACATAACCTTGTTTTAAATACATTTCTGAAAACCATACACGTCTCTAGATATTTCAAAAAAGCATGGCCCTATCTGTATATTAGCAGCTAAAACTTTTGGAAGAGGTTTCAATTTCTTTACCTTTCACACAGTTGACATTGTCCTTCAGGAAATATTTCTACCATGAACAGCCACATATATGGAGACCATCTACCAAGCAGATGCCTCATAATACAATTTGTTTTTAATAGATCACATATGGATCGTTTGCACCAGGAAAGACTGAAACAAAACAATCCAATTCCTTTTACCACCTGGTGCCAAATGAAGACCATCAATATATGGGAATTATTCAGTTACTTCTACATTTTGGATGGACATGGGTTGGGATCTTTGCTGAAGATGATGATGGTGGAGAACATTTCTTGTCAACCCTGGAACCATTCCTTTCCAAGAACAGAATCTGTTCAGCCTTTACAAAAAGAATCCCCAAACAAGCACATACGGTTTCCATGGATGAAGTTCATGATGTATTTTCAAATATTTATCCAGCTTTGATGGAGAATAAACCTAGCATACTTATCCTGTATGGAGGTTCATTGACCATCATGTTGTTACTGACTATTACTTGTCTCCCACATACTGAATACAAGGAAAATGCATCAGTTACAAAGGTGTGGATTATGACAGCACAGATTGATATCATATTAACAGGTCTTCAGAGGTTCTTTGATATACATCTCTTCCAAGGAGCTATCTCCTTTAGCATTCACACAAAAGAGTTGCTAGGCTTCCAGGAATTTCTTCAGACCATAAAGCCCTACAGCACCAGTGCAGATGGTTTTCTCAAGGATTTCTGGGAGCAAGCATTTGTCTGTTCATTTCCAAATCCCCAAGAGCTGGTGGCTGAAGATGAACTATGTACTGGGGAAGAGAGGTTAGACAGCCTGCCTGATCCAGTTTTTGAAATGAGCATGACTGGCCATAGCTATAGTATTTACAATGCTGCCTATGCTGTGGCTCATGCCTTACATGCCATCTCATCAAGATGCCACCACAGAAGAATGACTGATGGGGGAAAACATAAACTCCATTATCTCCAGCCTTGGCAGGTAAGGCATTCAGAATTAAAAACTTTTTTAAAAACTGTGTAAACTGATTTTTAGAAATCATCAGAGACTATCCAACCTTTTCCTGCTCTGAATAATTGGCGAAATTTGTTTATACAATTGCACATGAGTTCATATTATTTCTGAAATTGGGTGGTTGTAATGGGAAATCAGTTTTTTCTTCTATGACTATGCATATTCCTTCCACTACCATGTATCACATCTGGTTGGGTCTTCACTATAGAGAAAACATAAAAGAAAGGATAGGGATGTACAAATAATCAGCATTTCATGTCCAAAGAGTCATGTTAGCCCTTGTTTCTTTTCCACTTTCAAATAGCTGCAACCATTTCTGCAAGGGATTTCGTTCAATAACTCAGCTGGAGAAACAATATCATTTAATGCTAAAGGGGAAATGGGAGGTGGATTTGATATCAACAACATGGTCATCTTCCCTAACAGATCCTTCCAGAGATTGAAAGTTGGAAGTGTGAGTGAAGGAAAAGGATTCATCATTCATAAGGCCATGATTATATGGCCAAGAGGTTTTAACCAGGTACAGACTGAGTTTCCCCCTATTCTTGACTGGATTATCAGTTCTAAAACACCACTTTTTGTGCAACCTTATGCATCCATCTCTGTAATGAAGTCAGGAAACTAAACAGAAGTGTATGATTAAATAAAAAATATTTATCTTCCAACCAACATTTGAAAATCTACAGTATCTGTTTTCTTATTGATGAATAGGGGATCCCCATTTCGGTCTGCAGTGACTCCTGCCAATCTGGGTATCGGAAACAAAAGAAGGAGGGGAAGAAATTTTGCTGTTATGACTGTGCTTTATGCCCTGATGGGAAGTTTTCAGACCAAAAGGGTAGGTGATACAACTGTTCTCCTGATATAGCATCCAACTAAATGCCCTCAGGATCCTTACCCATCACCCTGGTGTGTTTGTATATATGAATCTGGTTCAGCGTGTTGTAAACACTTTCTTGCAGGATGGGGTCTTTCATTGTCTCTTGAGACAGACAAATGCCAACAACCAATTTTTCAATTGATTTTATTTTAATGAATTCCCATAATATTGTGTGAAATATATATTTTATTTATTGGTGTTGTAAGTCAGAATCCTTGTTTCCATTACTTTATATATGATTTTGCTATTAAATTTTGATGTAAGACCAATGTGTTTCCTAATTCCTTTCACAATCTCATCCCCCCCCCCACACACAAACAAAAATGAATTGCATTTCAACTCAAGAAGAAAGTAGTTCATTAACCTCCTAATTTTTCCCTTATAACAGCAAAAAATATAGGAAGCTGTTTTATGGCGAGTGAGAAAATTTATCCATCTAGTTCAGTATTGTCTACCCTCAGATGTTCTAAACTGGCTTTAGAACTAAGAAAGAACATGCTGCCAAAACATTTAAGTGTAAAAAACTCCCATTACTTTTTCTTTTTTTTTAATCCTCTTTGAGATTTAGGAAAATCACTTCCACTCATGTCAACTCAAGTGTACACAAATTGACACATCATCATTATTCTCATTGTGGTGAGTGGTGAATTCACACAAACACCTCCACACTGGAACTACAAAATAGAAATCATGCAAAGTATCATTTATTATTTGGGAGGAAGTGAGGAAATTCTTCATAAATCACACATGGATTGACACTGAAATGAGATTCCTTTCTGTTTTTCAGATATGGATGACTGTCTCCAGTGCCCAGAAGATCAATATCCAAGCAAGGACAAAGATCAATGTTTTCCAAAGCATCTAATCTTTCTATCTTTCAAAGAGCCTTTAGGGATCAGTTTAGCTTCTTTTGCTCTTTTCTTTTCCTTTATCACAGCTTTGGTTCTAGGAACTTTTATTAAACACAAAGACACCCCCATTGTCAAAGCCAACAACCGGGACATCAGCTACATTCTGCTTGTCTCTCTCCTCCTCTGCTTCCTCTGTTCTTTGCCATTCCTTGGACAACCCAATAATGTGACCTGCATTCTCCGGCAACCAGCTTTTGGCATCATCTTCTCTGTGGTTATTTCTTGTGTGATGGCTAAAACCATCACTGTTGTGGTCGCTTTCATGGCCACCAAACCAGGATCCATCTTGAGGAAGTGGGTGGGGAAAAGTCTGGCCAACTCCATTATCTTTTCTTGCACCCTCATTCAATCAGGAATTTGTGTGGTGTGGTTGGCAACCTTTCCCCCATTCCCAGATCTGGACATGCACTCTCAGAGCAAAGAGATCATTGCATTATGCAATGAAGGATCTGTCTTCATGTTTTATTTAGTTCTGGGCTACATGGGATTTCTGGCCATCATCAGCTTCACGGTGGCTTTCTTTGCCAGAAAGCTGCCAGACACTTTTAATGAAGCCAAGTTCATTACTTTCAGTATGTTGTTGTTTTGCAGTGTTTGGCTGACTTTTGTTCCAACCTACCTGAGCACCAAAGGGAAATACATGGTGGCTGTGGAGATCTTCTCCATCTTAGCTTCCAGTGTTGGATTACTTGGTTGTATCTTTTTCCCCAAATGCTATATTATCATTTTTAGGCCAGAGTTGAATGACAGGGATCAGTTAACAAAGAGAAAGAATGACTGAACCTAAGTATTTTATGTCATATTGGTTATTTTCTTTTCTTTTCAATGGGTCTGTTTTGACTGTAAGTAACATTGGATCCTTTATCATAAGCTTTTATTAGCAATTCTAGAAGAATGAAAGCAACTCCACTCTAATATTTGTGACCACTTTTGCTCTTATGTATCTAGCAAGAAACTATTACAATTAAATGTAAAATGTTACACCTTTGTGGTCAGAGCAGAAGAGAAAGGGTGGAATAGGTATCCACAGGCAGGCAATACACTGGACTAAATGAGATAACAAGTCTCCAACCATTAGTTGCACCATCATGGATAATGCTCAGGAATTACTGAGTCATAGTCCAGCAATAACTGGAGCACCACAGTTAACAATACCCAGAGTAGATCTACAAAGGGAGTTGGGGGAATGCTCTGAATAAGTCAGAAATTTAAGTGTTATAATAAAAGGGGGAAATGCAATCTAAAAATCGCATATATATATTTCTCTTTGTTACCACCTGGTGTTGCATGTTTATAATGCATTCAAAACTTCTTCATTTTTACTTTTGTAGCTGAGTCCCCATTCTAGATTCTCAACCCTAAATTCTTAAGCACCTAGTCTGACTAGGATGTAGTTGAGACATATGGGTAGAACTTTTTTCCCCTTAAAAACAAAACATGTTTTATTCCAAAAGTGCCATTCCTTATCTCAAAAGAAGCAATTGTTTTCCTTGCAAATATCCAAAACACAAAAATTGTTTTCACTGTGGACAAGACTCTAGAGGATTTCCAGAAGGAAGTGGTGAACAATCCATAATCAGACCTGGAAATTGTTTCCTGGTGCAGTCAAAACTGGGAGTATGGCAAGAGGCTTATAGAGCTCTGTTAGTATCATTTTTAACAATTCCATTTTACTCACATCAGCAGGCAGACATAAATAAAATTATGTCAACCTCAGCTAAAATTGAAGACATGCATTTTTGTAGCTCTGCTAGTTCTAAATTAATGCTGAAATGCTCTGTGTTCAATAAAGCACTGGAAGAGACAAGCACCACAGAATGCAGTTTGTTTACTTAAAACTGGTAGTCATAGTCATCAGAAAATAGCCCTCTTCTCAGGCAAATTTAATGATTTACTAATAAGCAAGTGGGACGCGGGTGGCGCTGTGGGTTAAAGCCTCAGCGCCTAGGACTTGCCGATCGAAAGGTCGGCGGTTCGAATCCCCGTGGCGGGGTGCGCTCCCGTCGTTTGGTCCCAGTGCCTGCCAACCTAGCAGTTCGAAAGCACCTTCGGGTGCAAGTAGATAAATAGGGACCGCTTACCAGCGGGAAGGTAAACGGTGTTCCGTGTGCTGCGCTGGCTCGCCAGATGCAGCTTGTCACGCTGGCCACGTGACCCGGAAGTGTCTGCGGACAGCGCTGGCTCCCGGCCTATAGAGTGAGATGAGCGCACAACCCTAGAGTCTGGCAAGACTGGCCCGTACGGGCAGGGGTACCTTTACCTTTTTAATAAGCAAGTATATCAAATTATTATGGCAGATGTTTTCAAGCACAGTGGTACCTCAGGTTACATACACTTCAGGTTACATACGCTTCAGGTTACAGACTCCGCTAACCCAGAAATAGTGCTTCAGGTTAAGAACTTTGCTTCAGGATGAGAACAGAAATCGTGCTGCGGCGGCGCTAAAGTGATGCTTCAGGTTAAGAACAGTTTCAGGTTAAGAACGAACCTCCGGAATGAATTAAGTACTTAACCCGAGGTACCACTGTAGACAGTATGCTTTATTTGCTGCATGAAGACATCACTAAAAAAAAGCATATATAGTATTTGTAGCATACAGTCTTCTGATGGGTTGGAGTTGTTTCTTAGCTCAAAATTCTTAACCAGAAACTGGAAGATATCATTGCATTTCAAATCACTTGCAGCTGCAAAGTACTGCTTTGAGGTGTGCTGGTTTCAAGCATTGGAAGAATTTCTTCTGAAAGGCTAAATTTATATGTTTGCAGTGTAGTGATTACTATGAACAAGATCAATGAGAACTCAAAGATCTTGTCTAATATCACTCTCATGTCCCACATCTATAACAGCTATTATGAAGCTGAATGCATCTATCATACAACTCTAGACATGCTCTTCAAATCTTTTTAGGATTGACCCTCAACTATAAGTTTGACACCCAGAAAAAAAACCCCTCATCATTTAAGGTTGCCATACGTCTGAGAAATTGCGGACATGTCCTTTTTGGGGGAGCCAACAGGCCCATCTTGGGGGGGGGGGCATTTTTAACATTTTAAAGAAAATGTCCGGGATTTGGGTGTGTGTATTTATTTATTTACAGTGGTGCCTCGCAAGACGAAATTAATTCGTTCCGCAAGTTTTTTCTTCTTGCGAGTTTTTCGTCTTGCGAAGCACGGTTTCCCATAGGAATGCATTGAAAATCAATTAATGCGTTCCTAGGGAAACCGCCTTCAGACCAGGTCTGGGGACAGTCTGTCCCCCGACCTCTTCTGAAGGCTGGGGGGGGGGGAACAAGGGCTTCTGAAGGCTGGGGGGGCTGGGGGGAACAAGGGCTTCGCTGCCGACCCCCAGCATTTTAAAATCTCACCGGGACACGGGGAGATTTTAAAATGCTGGGGGTCAGCAGCGAACGCTTCACTGATCCCGGGACGGCAGGCAGATCTGCACCGCCATCCAGAGCGGGGCGGGACTTAGCCCCGCTCGGGATGGCAGTCCCGGGACGGCAGACAGCTCTGCGCCGGCATCCAGAGCGGGGCGGGACTTAGCGCCCCGCTCGGGATGGCGGCACAGATCTGCCTGCAGTCCCGGGACGGCAGACAGCTCTGCGCTGGCATCCAGAGCGGGGCGGGACTTAGCGCCCCGCTTGGGATGGTGGCGCAGATCTGCCTGCAGTCCCGGGACTGCAGGCAGCTTTGCGCGGCCATCTGGAGCGGGGCGGGCTTCGCCCCCGGCTCCCGATGGCCGCGCAGAGCTGCGCTGATCCCGGGATGGCAGACAGCTCTGCGCCGCCATCCCGAGCGGGGCGGGACTTAGCGCCCCGCTCGGGATGGTGGCGCAGATCTGCCTGCAGTCCCGGGACTGCAGGCAGCTTTGCGCGGCCATCTGGAGCGGGGCGGGCTTCGCCCCGGCTCCCGATGGCCGCGCAGAGCTGCGCTAAATTCTGTCAGGGAAAAAGGTGGGGGTATAAACAAACAAAGAAGCAAACAAATAAATAATCTGACTTCTGGCTCTCTGGTGCCACCTCATGGAAATTCTCTCCCAAAATCAAGCAGTGAAGGGTTTTTGTATGAGATCTCATGGGATCCCTCTCACGGTGTCTCCTGCACAGTAATATAAGGCAGTGTCTTCTGCTTTTAAGTTGTTCATTTGAAGATAGAAGTTGGAGCCGCCCTTAGATGCTGTGAATCTCTCTCGGATGGCAGGAGAATGATAACTCTTCCCAGAAGCTGTCCCATAATAGTGCACAAGCCATTCTAGTCTCTTCCCAGGTGTCTGTCTGACCCAGTTCATCCAGGTGCTGCTAAGGTCAAACCCAGTGAGGGCACAAATCAATCTATGGGAGTCTCCAGGTTTCTTCAGTACAGGATCTGATTGAGTCAGAACTCCCTGTGAGAGGACATCTGATAGCAGGGGGGGGGGGACAAGTTAAAACAGAGAATCAACAGCCTCCCAAAATCATACAAAACCCCACTTAAGTGGCAAAATGAATCAAAAGATAAAACTCAGCTCACATTACAAGGAAGCAGCCAGCACAATGAGTACTGGCAAGAAGGACAGCGTAGTGAAGGAATGGTCAGGATTTCAAGAGATCTGTGTAAAAATGGAGGTTTTGAGGTTTAAATAGGAACAAACGGCACCCTTAGCTTTGCATAAATTGCTCGGCCCAAGGCAACACAGTATTAATGTGGTTTCAAGATCTCTCATGAGAATCAAAGAATCCCCTACAGCAATCTTTTCTCTTTTTTTTGGTCTTGTTAGAAAGTGGAAGGAGTACTGGTTCTATGTTTTGTGGGGCCCTCGAGCACAATGGGCCCAGTGCTCCTATCCCCATTATCACACACTGACTCTACCTCTGTCATTGGAGCCAATTCCCACCACTAACTGGTGACAGTAGTATGAGAAGGAAGAAGTTCTTGGCCAGGCATCCTCAAATTCGGCCTTCCAGATGTTTTGGGACTACAACTTCCATCATCCCTGACCACTGGTCCTGTTAGCTAGGGATGATGGGGGCTGTAGTCCCTAAACATCTGGAGGGCCAAGTTTGGGGATGCCTGCTCTAGGCAGTAAAGCCAACTTCTGAGGTCAGCCCTGAGGAGAAGACTTGTAGCTAACATGCAGCTTAGCTTATTGGTTTGTACCCAATTTAAGTTACTTGTTCTATGGTTCCATTTCAGTATTACCTCTACTCTACCCTGCAGTCCGTATTTTGAGCTCTGTGGCCTCAGTCCCAAGTTGAGCTAATAAGGTTCATGGTAGGGGATGTTCCTGTCCCATCTTATACTTGCAGCCACCTGAGTCTTTCTAAAGGGTTGGCAGCTCTGTAGGATGTGCTCATGGAGAGCAGCATGGGAGAAGGCCCTGGAAACTCTCCTTCCACAAACTTCTTTACGTTATCTGATCTAAGCTTCCATGCCAAAGCCTTAATGGAAAAGGTTTGACCCAATTCAAGTGATTTGTTCTACAAGTGTATTTCTGTATTTTATTTCAGGTTTCTTCCATCATAGTAACTATCATACATGTGGAATCCAAGTGTAACATTGGGCAATATCTCAGATTTTTTGTTGATTTCATTTACGGTAAATGCCAAGGCAAGTATGTGCTGGTAGAATTTTGTTGCTACACTACCAACAGAATCAATGTTAGCATTTCATGAGAGAAGTACACAATTCATAAAGTTTCAAAACTACTACATTGATCATTTTTGTATGTAAATTATTTAGGGTAAAAAACCCCTATTCTTTTATACATTAGTGATTTTTTCTGAGTTAATAAAGTCCTTTCTTT